TTTCTTGGCAGTTGTTCTTCATCACTAGATTCATCACTATTGTGTCTGTCATCGAAAACAACATCTTCAAATCCATCATTATTGTTCGTTGATGTTTCAGTAATATTAACATTATCAGGAATTTCATGAATACGTTTCAGTTCACGAGCTTCATCAGCTATAAAAACAACAAAGATATGTATGTATGTTTTTTTTTCGCTTTATAAATTAATTTCTTACAAAGATATTTCATAATAACATCTGCTTTATCATCTTGATAATCTCGAAGTCCAACAAGAATAACATCTCCTTGATTAATCCATACTTTTTTACGTAATTTACCACGAATATGACATAATCGTTTTTTTCCACCTGTATTATCAAAGCAAAATGCTTCTATATGACCATTACCTAAAATGCGTGTGACTTGTGCATAAGATTGTCCATCATCTTTAAGTATTAATTCACGTTTGACATTATCATTTTCATTTTTACCACGACGACGATTTTTACCACCTTTTCCTTTATTTTTTGGCATTTTTTTTCTATTTGATAATTACTAATCTAGGAAAAATAATACTAAAAGTTCAAGATTTACATTAAATGTAGACAAGAGAAAATAAAGCGAATCTAAAAAAAACAAAAAATTCAACTTAAATCATATGACGTAATTTCTCTTTGAATCATTGGTCCAGAAAAAACAAACTAGTTGACATGTTAAAAATCAAATAGTAGTAAACTATGAAAAGAAAATCCTCATTAAAATGTCATTTATCAACAGATGTCATGCATAACAATTTCTTAATCGTATTGACATTTCATATATTAAAACAGTAATTTATTGAAGACGCAAAAAAGTTTCTTACAACAGTTTATGACTTTTTTTCCTCATTTTTCAAGTTATAGTCATTCATGTTTCAAAGATTTTTGATCTTTTCATATATTCATGAGATCAGTAATGAAATAAAAAATACTTTTGAATAGTTCATATACGTCAATACTGATGGAAGTGATGATTTAATTAACACATTTTCCACTTACGCTCCTATTGTTGGCTTATTGAAAGAGTAAATATAATTGAAGAAAACTTGTAAAAAGCTTTCATAGCATTCGTATATTGTTCTAAAGAATAAAAGCATAATGTATGAATCTAAAAATAAATTACGATGTCTTGTCTAAATTTAGTTCTTTTCATCTTTTAATGAACATATATTTTTAAATATTCGACTCTAAGATAAGTATACGTTATAAAAAAATATCAATGCTATAAAAGTTAATATTCTATGAATAAAAAAGAAATTTCTCTCATTAACTTTTTATTAACTATTGATGAAATTGCTCCACTTTGTTGAACTAGAACAATAAGAGATTCAGATGACATTTAAAAAAAACGTAATTCTCAATGGAACTTGATCGATTATATTCTAGAGACGAATATAACTTCAATAAAAGATTCTTCTTCTTAAATGAGTTTATTCTTTCAAAATGACAAGATTGAAGAAGACAGATGATCTGTCTGAACTACTTTGTCTTCTGACATTTACACATAAATATGAACTTATATATCAAATTATAAAGTATAGTTTTTTTTTGCTTGCATGAACATATTTAAGAAAAAGCATTCATTAATTAGAATATCCTTCATGAATGCCTGTGAATGCTAAAAATTTTTGTAAATAAAACACAAGCACGGATTCGATTAATTTTGATTAAGAAACAAAGGAGCGTGCCATCCAATCTATCATTTATCTTTTGTTCACGCTCTCATAATCTTTTACTTCGCTTGCCAAACATTTCCTCTTTCCTTCATTTGTTTCCTTAAGCCATTAGCAATATATAAAAAAAGGCAGAATACGCACTTCATCGAGATGCCGAACCTTATTTTTTACTCAGTTGTGTTCTAACCATCATTATTATAGCCTGTCGTTTTTTAGATCAGAGGCGGTTTCTATAATGTATTGGCATCTTGAGAATTAAATAATTTTATATCTGAATACTTGTTAAATTAGCGAAAGATTGAATTATTTTTTCATTTTTGTAAACGTTTTACGTCATGTCTGAAATTAATTGAGTTTTAATAGATGTTTTTATGATAGCGGATAATTATTTAAAATTTGACAAACATCAAAGACCTAGTTGTGAAATTATTATATTTTATTTATAGATCATGAGTGTTAAATAATGATTCATGTTAATTACAATGTGAATATGTAAGTAAAACATTTAATAATAATTTTTCTCTTCGATAGATGTATCAATATTAGTTTCATGTTCAGTAATAGTATATTCATCAATACTAAAAACATAGTTTGGCATTTTCTCATAGCTTCTTTTTTTATGTTCACTGTTGACTTCTTTTCTTTCTTAATATTTGTCAAAGTCTTATTCTTAGATCAGTTCTATAGAAGATTCTTGGCCTATTCACGGTTATTTTTGATTGATAGACGGGTAATAAAACTTTAAAACCAAGTATATAATGATAATCTCGTCATTTTTCCTATAATAATAATAATAATAAATCTTCGCTGTTAATAATGCCAACACATTATTGTTAATTACTTCAAATGAGGGTGATTCCACCGCATTTATACCACTTTCCTGGAACAGGTCTCCAATTAGTGTTTTGATTCGCTAGTTTATCTGATGAGAGCGTAAAAAGTTGATATAACACGAAGAAACCAAAATCACGAGCTGGAAACTTTGAGATTTTGTCAAAATGTGAGGTACATGTGTAGCTAATTTCCACATCAAATTCGTGATTTTTTCAGAGAAAAACTCGAGAAAGTTCCTAGTAAATGTAGATGTTCCTCGTATTTTGACAAAATCTTAAAGTTAGCAGCTTGTGATTTCGATGTGTTGGTATTATATTAACTTTTCACGCTGTCATCGGATAAAGCAACATATTTTTAGCGATAGTCTTTGATTTTTTCTAGCACAACAATGAATATTTCATAAATCGACGCGTTTTCCAAAAAGTGGTATAAATTCCATGGAATTATCCATGATATAAATTGATATAAAAGCTTAAAAGTTTTTTTAAAAGGCTCAACATCTTTCATAATTAAGAATTCATTCTAAAATAACTTTTATATTGTATTAATATGTAAGAATAATTAGTTTTTGATGGTTTCAAACATGAATGTTAGTCCTAGTCTTATGACAGCAGATGCTGATTACCATAAGAGAAAATGACGAACAAAGAAAAATATAAAAAACTAGATGGTATTGAAGCTTTGCTTCGAATACGGAATGCGGTGCGAAGCATACATGCCAAGAATCCGAACAACGAATTTCGAATCAAAATCGAATAATCTCTCTACATATTATTTGAGTTAGCTCTCATGATCTGCGTCAAGATTCTAAGATAATCAACAATTTTTCTTGATAAGAGGTCATCGATAAAAAGACATCTTTATCAAACAGCTGATTTCATCTAGATCCGAAATGAAACGCGTTCATTATAAAATTCATCACTGCCGAAACTTTATGAAAGTGTACCGACAGATTTCTACAAATTGTTTTCAGTTGATCAATTAATTATGTCAGTGATTCATTATTTACTATCAGCTATAATTCACAGCTGTTTGATATATGGGCGTGACCAACCATAGGATACCCCGATTTGCTTTCTTTCTGTTATCAGTTAAAAAACCTAATCATATTCGGGCCAAATTATTATCATTGTCTCTAAACTTCTAAATTTAAAATATTAGCTGTTGATAGCTATCTTATAGCATAATTATTCAGTTCCTTAAAAACGGTAGGACACGCTTTCAGGGACTGAATAATTTGCTATAGGATAGCTATCAACAGCTATTGCTTTAAATTTAGAAGGTTAGAGACAATGGCAATAATTTGGCTCCAATATGGTTAGGGTTTTTAACTGATAATAGAAAGAAAGTAAATCGGGGTATTCTATGGTTGGTCACGCCCATATGATCGAATTATCTCAGAAGTAAACTCCGTCAAAATTGTGTTTTTGGAAGCTCCGATTGTACACGAACTATTGGTTCTATAGATAGTTCGATTAAAAATGGTAGTGTTTCGATCTTGATACTTGGACTTCGCGTTCGAATGAGTATTTTCGGAGTTGTAGTTCTCGTGATCATCGCGTCACAAGATGACAAGTTTTAATGCCTACGTCTGGTATAAAGGAAAAAAAAGGGTAAACTCGCGAAGGACCACATGAATGCTGTGCTTCGCACCGCATTAAAAATCGAGCGCCAGAAGACAACACCAGAAAAGAAAGGAAAGAAGAAAAATGCAAGATGGTCTGTTCTATCTAATAATTATCATTACATTTTAAGCAGTGAGCTTCATCAAGTGAGAAGGTATGTCATACGATGTTGTCTATAGATTACTTAGAAATTCAATTAGTTTCTCTAAATATATCTTGATCTTTTGTTGAACTTCTCCGGATCATGGAGTTATAAGAGATATCAGACATACATTGACGACATAAATATTTATATGTATCGAATAATTGCAACATTTCTCAGGCCAAATATATATTTGCCTGTATATACTGTGCTGGCCAAAATTATAAGACCAGCCTACTAGTTCGCTATTCTCTTCTTGTTGCTCTCTCTGCAAAGGATATATTCTATTGTAATTTACTCTCAAACATACATTTAGGCGTGCTCTTTCAGAACATACTATAGTATATTCTGAAAGAGCACGTCTAAATGTATGTTTGAGAGTAAATTACAATAGAATATATCCTTTGCAGAGAGAGCAACAAGAAGAGAATAGCGAACTAGTAGGCTGGTCTTATAATTTTGGCCAGTACTGTAATTAATCCTTTGAGGACCGAATTTTTTTAACCAAAAAAAAACGTTTTTCAACCTTTTTATCTTATTTTAACTCAAAATGGCTACATAAAAATATTATGATAATCAGAAAAAAAGAATCTTTATCATCTTTTAAACAAAATGGCAATTTGCCAGTAAAGCAGTTGATGTTCGATCGAAAATGTGCTTCGTAGGTGCTAACATAAGCAAAGAGAAACAATCAAGGGGAAAACAGCTAAAATCAAAAAAGAAATCAGAAAAATCAGAAAAATCAAAAAAAAAATCAGAAAAATCAAAAAAAAATCAGAAAAATCAAAAAAATCAAAGAAAGTCAGAAATATCAAAAAAAGCTGATTTCAGCTGATTTCACTCTTGATTGATGTTTTTAAACAAAAGAAATTAAAAATTTTCTGATTTTTTTGATTTAGCTGATTAAACTGATTAAACTCATTTTTTTGATTTAAAATTGATTAAAATCAGTTGTTTCCCCCTTGGTATCAATAGAGTTTTCGATGCGTGACATTTTAGTATATTCTTTGTTCAAACTTGAGTTGTGTAGTTCAGAATAATTCAGAAATATAAAATTTTCAAGTTGCAAAGGCGTTGCGAAAACTTTTTTTGTTTTTTTAGAAATGTTTGGTTTTTTAGCCTTTCCTCCTTCCCAGATTCGATCTTGAAAAATATATCTACTAGAAAATTTGTAATTCAGACATTTCTCTTTCTAACAAAAACAATTTAATTAGTTTAAAAGTCGGCAATAGGGTCTAACAGGGTTGAACATTTTTGCCAAGACTTTTGTATCGCATGTTAGTTTAAGAGTTGACTTTTATCTTAATGGGATTCGATAGATGACAACGTATGGACTGCTTTCGGCGAAGATTAATGAGATTGCGAGAGATGTTGAGTAAACGTTTTAAAGATAACGCGAATCGACCATATTGCTGTAGGTTATTATGATATGTGATAATTATCTAATGTACTGTAGTAATAAAAGTAATAGAAAAACGTTTTATAAATACGTGAAAAAAGAATCGTATATGGGTTAAAATATAGTCAAAGTATGAAATCACTTTTTTTTTAAAATCTACTACCAAAATCTACTAATATTAAAAATTTTATTATACTGGAATCGCAATTGTTGAGTGACTAAATTGTTTGATACACTTACCAGCAAAGTATCATGTTCGAAACTGAATGTCACCAGACATAGAATGATCCTAAAGAAATCATTAACAACTGTTTGTTTTCGAGCTCCTACCGAATAATATGTTGATTCCATTGTAACGTAAATTGATTCATATGATTAATATTTGGTTTATCAGTATATATAATGAGTTCAAATGCTCGGCTAGAAGAATTCTGGAAGACAACATCCGATATTGAAAGACAGCCGAAAATTAGGATATTTCTTCTCGTATCATACTGTCTGATAGTACGGTAATAGATCTTACATAGCGTTTTGAATGATTACAATAAGTGCGAATTTCAAATAAAGCACATCACTCGTGCAGCACACAAGTTATTAGTTTATATAAATTAATACTTCCTAGATCTCGAAGATATAAGACATTTTTTAAGTTATAACCTCTAATATCTCTATACTAAGACATTGATCAAGTGTATCAGAAGTTAAATGAATATTCAGGATATCCATAGAATACATTTAATTAAGTACATTTATTTTTCAGATACTATTAACAATGACAAATATATCAACAATCACACTAGAAACGATTAAATCGGCTATTAAAACACCACACTATTATAATAAATTTCGTGTTATACATAGTATTCTGAACCAAATTACTTTTCCTTACCTTATCATAATAGTCTGCATTGGTCTTATTACTAATACATTGACTATTGTATTTTTATCCAAAGATTTTGTTACAAAAAATCTTGGACATAAATGGACATTAATTGCATTAGGTATGTATGACATCGAATAATTAATGTATAGTTCTAGTTTAGTTTGCTAATTAACTTCTAAGGACAAAATCATAAGTCCAAGCTGCCGAGTTGTTTGATGTTTTCTTTTCTTTTGCTACGAAGTCATAATTTATTACATCTTTATATGATTATCAAGCTAACACAACTACTAAAAAGAACAAAGAATAAATGTCATCAGATACTTTTCTTGAGTGTCATAAACAATCATTTTCATTGTTTATGATATCAGCAGAATAAAAAATCTAAGAAATCCATTTGAGAAACACCCATTTGATTGTTCATTGGAATGCATAATATGTCAGTTAATAAATAGCGATAAAATTTAACTTATGGTCCATCTAAGCTTTTTTTTTTAAATAAAACTTTTTTGTAGCATGCTTTTGGTATTTAATTGTTTTGTGATTATAATTTCTTTTTTGTTTCGACAGAATCATTCACATCTATAAAAGCAATTCACTATTACTTTTCTAAATAGCTAATAATTATTTCGCTGATAGCATAAATGAGTATTCCTATGTAGAAATAAGAACAAAACCAAACGTATAATAAATATCGTGGAATACGTTGAAGGAAAAAAAAAGAATGCTTTCATTTAAGTATAAGATGACTAACATATATTTTCATACAATTTTTAAACAATATTCATTTCTTTCTAATAAACAATAGTTTAAAAAAATTAGCGTTTATAATAAAATATATTTTGATAAATAATTTTTTATTTTGTTTTCTTATTTAGCTTTTAGTGATCTTATTCATAATATTTCTTTATTAATTCGAGTTATTCATGATATTATTAGTGGAAAAATAGAATATCTTTGTTTAATTATTTCATTTCTTAGTCATTTAGCTGAATTATTATCAGCTTGTTTTACTGTTTTATTTACTGTACAACGTTATACAGCTGTTCGTTATCCATTAAAAGCAGCTGTTCAAGAAAAATCATCACCAATTATTCGTCTTCTATTAATTTTCATGTTTAGTTTAATATTTTGTATTGTATTATCACATACCAATACATATATTGATTGTCATGAAGAACTTAAATTAAGTTGGTTTATTGCTGATGCTTTATCTTCATTTGTCATTCCATTTTCATTAATTCTAATATATAATATATTTATTGTTAATTTAATTCGAAAACATGCACGTTCACCATTTAGTGTACAATCAACATTATTAAAGTCGAATAAACGTGTAAGAAATGGTATACATTATAATTTTAGAAAAAGGAATCGTTCTAAAGATAGTTCTTCAATAACTTACTCACATGGTATTCCACATACTTCACATGAAATATTATTTGAAACAGATATTGATAAAAAAATAAGTCGAACTTGTTCATCGATCAAAAGTTATAAAAGTAGTACTGCAATAAAAAGAAGTCAACCAAGATCATCATGTAATATCTCAAATGAAACAGAATTTCAAACCAGTGAAATACCAATTCCAAAGGTATGTTTTTCTTTAACAAGAAATAAATGTATCCTCTTCATTGAAATAGATGGAATACACTTTTTTTTTACATTCATCGTTCATGCAACAAAAGTTGACTTCTCTTGTATGAATCCTGAATGTGAAGAAAATCTATGTTCAGTTTATTTTGATCAGAGAAATATAATAAATGAGATTTGTCGAATATTTTATATTAAGATAAATTCTTACTTATTTAATGTATCAATAATATTTCACAAGAGGAGCCAAATGAATACGAAAGACATTTTCTTTTTAATAATTAAAATCAATTCTTATTTTTTTCATAAACTTAAATATTCTATCAAAAAATTGTCTATGTTTATAAATACTTTTATATAGTCATACACATATATATTTTATTTCAACAAAATAATAACCATTGTACCTGTTAGTGCTTTACCTTTTCGAAGTAGTCAAGCGTTAATGAATTGGTATACACATGACGTAAATAACAAATTCGGAAGTAATTTGAAACAAAAAGGTTAAAAATAAAGCTCTAATGAGGGTGAAAAAGTCAGGCAGAAATATAATCATACATTTGATAAAAAAAAACTAGTGGAACTAATAATAGGCTTCATCTAAAATAGGTTGTGTCACAAAAAGTTAGCTTCTGGACTAAGAGCCACATGATTATATATAATGTTTAAGGGATGCATCGATGAAAGATTAATCTGTATACTTAGTGATAAAAAATAGTATTTTAATGAAATATTTTATTTAATATATAGAATACTTTTAGGTTTTCATTTTAAATAAGAATTTCTATTATATTTTAGGAACAAATTGAAGAAGTAAATTCAAATGCATCACCAATCAATGGTTCATCATTGATATCTGGTCAATCACCTAGATTAGACAGGGATAAAAAGAACAAATATCAACAGAAAATATCGAATGCACTTAGTTCACGAAGATTATCCCAACTATCACGAAATGTAGATTTTATTTCGAATAAGAATTCACAAACAACACAATCAATTCGCGTTACACGTATACTTGTTCTTGTTTCAACATGTTTTCTTATACTTAATGCACCGGCACATTTATTTATTATTGCTTTAAAAACTTATACTATTATCGATTTACCAGTTTATGATGAACATACTGAACTTGATAAACTTAAACAAACAACAAATTTAACAAATAATCAAATGAAAAATTTTGTTTTTATTCAAAATAAAAATTATACAACATCTGAAAACAAACATTTATTAACTTATGATACGAATATGCTTGATGATCAAATAATAATTCATATACTTTATCTAGCCGTTTTATTAACACAATTAATATCATATGCATCATATTCGATTAATTTTTTTCTTTATTCCTTTATTGGTGGGGCATTTCGAACAAGAATGAGACAATTGTTTAATAAATTATGTTGACATTATAATTTATATTGTAAAATGTCTAGATATATATTTAGTTTTTGTGTAAAAAAAAAAGAATAAAACATATAATTCGTTTGTTATTGTCTGTGTAATCAAGAAAAAAAAGCAGTAACAATGAATTACTGCATAAATAAACAAAATTAGATTAACTTTCGTGTTCATTTTAAATAACACAATACAGCATTTTATATGTCAAATAACACAAACAAGGTTAAGAAAATGACAGTTTATTTTTCAACAAGAATAGAGAATTGATCAATTTTTTATTTTAATGACAAACTAAGATTTCAATCAATTTATACGAAAATATCATCAATTCGACTTGGTAGATAAACATATGTACTATCACCACGACTAGATGAATATATTAGAGTTCTGCGCGATAAACTTTTTTCGAGGAGCCCATCAGGTCGAAAATTTTCGGACTCGATCGAATCCCGAATGTCTTGCGAAACGAGACAATCGAGATTTTTGTAGTTTCGGAACTGTTCCACAGAACTCATGGTTGTCGATTAAGTTAACCTTATGATACTTTGATAATGATCGTATGAATAAGCTGAAATATCAGCTTCTCATTAAATTAAAAAAAATTGATCGAGTCTCTATTTTTGCTGCATATTATTTATATGAATCTACTTAAATAAAATCATGTCTTCCATTTATGTTAGTTTATTTTATATCACAACCATGTAGAAAAAAACTTAAATGCTACAAGTCATGCATCATAATGCCTACAAAAATAATAAGAATAAATGTTTACAAGCGGCTTTTGTCTAATTTTCTTATTTATCTAAAGCTTTTAATCATCTTGGTCAGAGACCGTCATAGGGCACTTTTTTTTGCCCTAACCTACTCTGTGCCCTGCTCAATGTTACCCTGTCCTATCCTTTGCCCTGTTCAGAAATTTTTTTTTCGTCCTGCTCTGCCCTCAGAGCAGGGCAGGGCAGAGATGTCATATAAATAGGCTTCATAATTAAACGAACTGAGAACTTGATAAAAATATTGTGATCATTTTAACATATAATACTCGTCTTTTACTAATATTACTTGGAGGAGTTTTATGAGATATTTATGAAGGACGCCAAGATAGCAATGAGAAGAATTTGATCAAAATTAGATATATCTACACAAAAATAATGGGATGTTCAGATATTTCTGACCATTCGAACGTTTGCTATTGATATTTCAGGTTTTCTCATCCTTTTTTCGAACTTTTGAAGCAAAGTTTATTTTGAACAACATTTTTAAAAGAAATTCATGATCGAATTCAATACTCGATCTTTCACAAATGAATAAAATATATGGAAGAGACATTCGGTGCTTGAATGATGACTATAAGTTAAATGGGATTTACAGCAACAATATTGTCAACTATAGTTGTGGCAATTGGGCTGAAACATGTCAATTATCTTTTTATTGGATGTATTTCACCTTACCTAGTGTTTAATAACTATTCGTCTCTTTATCATCCATCACTGCTTATAATTTTCGTAAAGCAAATCCTTGTTTACCTCTTTTATTGCGCATTTCTATTCTTAGCACATGTCATGCAAAATAGAAAGTTTGTGTGCTTATTCTGTTTTAGATTAGTAAATTGATTAATTTCTTATGCGGTTAGCTTTTTTACGATAGTAAACCATACAATAGATTGTACCTTTGTTTGTTGCTCATTCGAAAGTACGTTTTGCTTTTGTTTGAGCTGTTATCCACGGTATTTCATTTTTTGGTACGTCCAGTTGATAAAATTTTATATAATATAACAAAATTAAAAGCCATGCACTGGAACGCATAGGCTAAATCTTGAGCTTTTATTAATAGGGTTCTACAAGAAGAAGGAATTTAAAAAATGTGATTGCTATTTGGACGTCTTGATGGATACGTCCATATATGAGAGTAATAGAATATTGAAATAAAATTGAAGCTTCTATCAACTAAACTCAATGTATAATAACAAACATGGATGACATATCAGAAACAACAAAAAACCGATGAAAATCTAAAAAGTTGCACTATGATAAGTTATGAAAGAATCAAATTTAAGATAAGATTTTGTTGATAGTTATTTTAACTATTTTTGATATAAATGATAGATATTCTATGAAAAATCTTTTAATTAATGTTTCTAGGAAAAAGTTAGTAGGGAAAAAAATTTTGCCCTACCCTGCTCTGCATGGCAACCAGGGCATGGCAACGCATGGGAGTGGGCAGGACTCTCCTGCCCTTTGACGGTCTCTGGTCTTGGTGAACTTTCCAGAATAATAGATGAGATATAATGAAAATGAATATTTACGTTCTATGACACAGAAACGTTATATTTTTTCATATTTCCTATCGATGAAATGGTTGTTGTTATGTATATAGACAAATGTATCAGATTTTTATGTTTCTCTACATCGACTATGCAGTGTAATATTTTTAATATAAAAGTATCTGATTATTATTTGAAATTTAGCGATGGTTTTTCATTTTTGGAAAAAGCTTTTTCTTATTTGTATATGTTTGCCATATATCATTGCAAGTATCCATTCATCAACTCTGAATATCAGAGATCAACAATCAGTCACAAGTTTTCTTTTTTTTTTATTTAATCTCCAAAAATCAAATGTTTACACAATTCATTTAACATTATCGATAGTGTATGTTATATTTGAATAATATCTCAGATTTCATCACAATTTTATTTCAAGAAGAACTATATCTATTGATTTCTTCATTGTTGTTTAGTAAAAAAAAATGAAAATGAATGTGATTGTATTTATTAATACACTCGTTCTTTTATACTGTTTGTGGAAGCAAAACAAAAACCAAACAGAAGAAAAAGCACGCGTTGAGAAAAGAAAAAAGGAATATAATCACACTATTAATTAGAATATCGATGACAGACAAAAATAAAAAGTTCCACTGTACATTCAAATGCACACTCGTTTACAGAGTGTAACTTAAGAGAATTGATATTCACAATTCATAATGACAAGAACATAAATATTTTAAGAAATTATTGTCGTAGTTTCTTCTCTATTGTTTCTTTCTATTGTAGACGTTGTTTGCGTTATTATATTTTGATCAACAAATATATGAACAAGTTGTGCTTCAATAACAGGTAATTCAAAATGATGAAAAAAATATAACATTGAATGAAAAATAAAACAACAACTTGTTGTCAATGCTAAAGGAGAATATTGACCATTATAACGTGCATGATATGCATAAAATGCAAAATGATATATATAAAAAAATCTTTAATAAAAAGAAAACAAATATAAATCAATTCATGTTTAAAAATATACACAAAAAAAAAGAAATCTTACCGAACCCAATGACGTTTACTCATTGATGTATGACAACAAATACTTTCATATTGATCCGATATCCATACGACAAGAATAACATAGAAAGCTGAATTAACAAAGAAAAAAAAAGCTGTTAGTACAGTTTCTACTGAAGTAAAATGTGAAACACGATGCAGTTGCTGTTACTGATCACAGGGAGATTACTTTACTCTATCAAATTTGGGACCCATTTCTTCGCTATCTTCTTACTTAAGAGCCACCTGAGAAAACTCAATTTTTTTGAATGAATAGAACATTTTTATAATAACCAGCATGACAGATGGAATTAGTTATCTTCATCTGTTACGTGCTTTAAAACAGTCTACTGAAATGTATTAAAAATATGTAATTGTAATATGATCTTTATCTGGATTTGAATGAAAAAATCCATTTCTAAAATTTCTTTAGCATTTTTCTCAAAACATGATTTCCAGGCAGGAAAATTGAAATAACTCTCACTCAGATCAAGATATAACCGAAAGTTATAACGATTCTTCTGAAAGCCACATAAACAAACTGGAAGTTCGATCTAGTATAATATATCGAGCTGAAATTTTTATCATAAACGTTTGTCATCAGGACCCCTCGTTTCTGTAAATTTCAGTCCAAACGGTCCATTCTAAGTGGGAATGCTTAACTTTTCAGAAATTCCACAAGGAATTAGTTCATTTACTATAACGACACATTATTGACATACGGTTTTTGAACGTATATCAATACAATCTGTAGTGTAAGCTGAGAGAATATTGATATGGTGTTTGTCACCGCTTGTAAAAGAGAGGAAGGCGTATAGCAAAGGTGTCTACCATAGTCTCTGTGATGAGCTGTTTCTAATGTGTCTGTGGAGGAAGGATACAAATTTCTATCCCATATACTTCAATACTTCTTTTCAATCGTGTTTCAAAAAAAATCAAGACTAAAATAAGTATGAAACAAATTTAATCACCTGTTGATGCATCATTAAAAAATTCCGACATAATTGCTTCCATACCTTTCAGAAAATAAATAAGATAAAATTTTTTCAAAACAAAAAAAGAAAAAATAATTCATTTTTTATACCGATAAGTGCTAAAATGACAGTCAGTAATGGAGCAGCAGGAAATACAACTGATGTATTATGTTCAATCATACGTAAAAGATCAACTAAAAAATAAATTTGAGTTTTCATCACAAAAATAGAAAGATTAAATTTCTAATTTTTTTTTTTATTTACCAATAAAAAGAAATATTTGAAAATGTGAATATCGAAGAAGCATTGAAATACTAATTGTCTGATAAAAAAAAAACAAAAAGAAATTTTACATCTATAATAGAATGTTTTTTTATTTATTTTTTTCTTTTAACTTACAAAAACAACCATGATACATAAAGCAACTGAATATGTCCACCATCGACCATTTTGTAATGAACTGACAAAACGAAAATGATCATTTGTCATTACATTACGAACATAACCTAAACGATGTTCTTTTCTTTTCAATTATAACTATTTGATGTACATCAATAATTTAATATACCTTTATTAGTTTCTTTTTCGGCCAATTGTTTTATACTAGACATTAGAATTTCTTCATATCCAATAAAATGATCAAGCATAAATCGGCTAAGACCACCACCAAAACATGTATTATTTGTTATATCTTTATTAAAGAAAACAAGAAACAA